AGGGACAGGAACAAGGAAGAAGGAAGGAAAATCAGGCCCCATAAAGATCTCTAGATGTATTCTAGTCCCAACCTGGGGGTACTGGCAACAGTATCCCAGCATGTTCTGCAAGTTGACAATCCAGGGCCATACAGTGTTGGAAACTTCCTGATAAAAAAAAGAGGTGAGGAGTTAAATCCGTCTCCTTGAGTAAAAGGCACAGCAGCTTTATAGGCAGAATGTTTGGGGATGCCACTGGGTATGATGCTGTAGTGCTTTTAGAACCTCTGCAAGCTGAATCACCCAGTATCTGAGCACAAGCAGATAGGAATTCCAAAGTGGACATGGAGGTCCCTGGCTGCACCCAACAGAGCTGAATTAAACTCCCATGAGAACAATTCTGTGACAATAGGGGTCAGGTGCTAGATTCCAGGCATTATTTTCCTTTTGGGATACCATGTAAACTCACCCATAAGCACTAGGGAAGTATGGACTGAGGTCACCTGTGGCAGCAAGACTCTCCTGTGTCTTAGCGAAGACATGCTGCATCTGTATAGTCAGAACAGTTGTAATGCAACAAGGCTCGAAGTGAGGCTAGGCCCCAAGTATTAAAAAATCCATCCAAGTGATGAAGAGGGTTTCAGATGGCCAGGGGTGGCCATACCACTGTACGTAGGCAGTGGAAACAGACTGATGACTGAAGATCCACATGGTACTTCAAGAGTAGGAGCAGCAGCAGGGTGATGCTGCCTCCAAACTGAATGGCAGGAAAGAGAGCACGTTCATCACTCCACCCAACAGATTAAGCCAATGCTTGATCCCTCACCCTTACCCCTTACCATGTTAAACCAGATTTAAAGTGGTGCCCAACAATGCAATAGTGAGGTAGTTCCTAGTGCTTCAGCCCAACCAGCCTTCCTCACTAAGTGAGTCTTAAGAGACAGGGTCATACCTGGTGGTGTGCCTCTACTCCTACCTGCACCTAACACAGTACACTCAGGTCTGAAAAACACCCCGTGCCTGAAGGTAACATTTTAGGCTAGCCCCACACATCCTGACCAATGGGGTTCAAGTACAGCCTCCAAAGCTAGTGCTGAGGAGCCTCCGATCTGGATAGGTGCTATGTAGAGACCAGCTCAAACATTGCTGTAACAAGGAATCTTAACTGAAATCATTAAGGACAAAATGCCAGTGCTGAAGCAAAAATATTATTTGACTTTACCAAGGAAAACAAAATTAGAGCTGTGGAAAAAGTGTCCAACCTCTTAGGACACTAGAAAAAAAAAACCTAGACATGCTGGGTAGAAGAGGGGTTATACAGGGGGGCTGGCCTGTTTTTTTTTTTGTACTTGCAGGTATATCAACCTCCTGCAGGCAGCCATAAAACCCAATTGTTTCTGAACTCATAGATCCCTCAATAGATAAGAAAAAAATACTTTTTTTAATTATTGAAGTGTTCAGTGTTGCCTCCCAGGGCAGTTTCTCTTCTGCCTCCTTCTAGTCATGTCTATTTTGAGAATCTATCTTCATGTTTCTGCTTTAAGCCCAACATTTAGCCAAAATTGTTTTGTTTTTATTTATGTATTATTTTGTGAGCAAGTTACATTTTCTATCAGGTTTTTATTTCTGAATGTGAAACCACTGGGGAGATTCTGCATTACTTCTTGTCCTTGTGTCACCAGGACAACAAATGAGATGCTGTCACCAGGAAAGCACAGACAGAACTGAAAACATTATCAGTAGTTCTAAGTCTACCCCACTCTATTAAAAGGTATGTTTTAGTCTATGTTGGAAATATTTTCTCATAACTTCCAATCCTTTCAGGAAGTGAGGGAAATATCCTCAAAAAGAAATACAGACAGCCCTAAATAACCCAACAGAAGCTCTAGTGACCCTCCTAGCTCCATCCAAAAAAAAAAAATAAAATACAAATTCTGTCTGGAGTTGGGCTTTAATAAACTGTTGATTGCATTTCTACCAAGTCTTTTTCTTGGACCTGTAAACAAAGTAAATAACAGCTTGTAACTGTCCCTCAGAATGTGAAAACATACCTCTTACTGAAGCAAAGGATTTAATGGGATTTCATGTCCATTACTCTTAACACAAGACGGCATCATGTGAGAAACCATACCGTACATGAAAGATTTGGGAGGATCATTTTTATGACTACTGTCTTGTATAGTATAATTGGAAAGTGTAGTAGACAAATTGTGAAGAATAGGGTCAAAATGGCTTCTTTGTTAAGGTCTCAACTACGTGTCTGATGTTCCTCCTTGAAGATGCATAATCAAATACAGTATGTGCCGTGCAGGGGCGGACTGACAACTCATGGGGCCCCCGGGCAATAGGGGATCATGGGGCCCCTGTGTCCTTGCCCAAGCTCAAAAAAGCCTATGAATAAGGTACCAGGGGCATCTCATGGGGCCCCCTACTGACCCCCCGGGAAGCGCCCGAGTTTCCAAATGGTCAGTCCGCCTCTGGTGCTGTGTTAAATGAACAGCTCTGTTTAACGAATGACAATCTGATTTTGCAAAAATAAAGTTTTTTTTTTGACCCTTGGCCTACACTGGATTATGCATACATGGAGTGTAATGATTTTAAATTATGATCACAGGCTATTTCTTTGCATATATTTTGTGTCATCTGCTATTCATCCTCCTTTGTAAATAACTATATTTGTCACATTAGAATATGGGTTTACATATGTGTGTTAGGTTGCATATTTGTCCAGTCTTTACATTTTTTTCATTTTTCATCAGAAAGGTCCATTGGTTTGCACTGAGGAAGAGCAAGCTTCGAAATGAGTCAGCCAGTGGGCTTCATGTGTGAAGCACTGGCACACCATTTGGCACACCAAGTTCACCCAAAACCTAACTCTAAACCTACTCGCAGAGACATTCTAAAACAAATCTATCTAGCCCTGTAAAAAAGTAATCACTATACATACCTTTTCTGAAGCTGATCAGGTCCGGTCTCCAGTGGTGGATGCTGTGTGCAGGAGAGAACCGAGAAGGGCTGTGAAATGCCTGGAAGTGACATCACACATAGACTTACTATGGGGCTTCTGTTGTCAGTTGCCTCTCCTGCACATGACTATACACTGTAGCTGCCACTGACAGCTCAGTTGGCTGCAGAACAGGTATGTATAACGACTTTTTTCTTACAGGGTTAGATAGATTCGTTTTAGAATATGGCTGCAAGCAGGTTTAGAGTTAGTTAGGTTTTGGGGTGAACTCTACTGTAAGTATAATTGGTAGCTTTACTCATTCTGTATGGATTTATGATACTGTTGATACCATCTAATATGTGAAGTGTAAACATTTTTTTAGGCTTGTGCAAATAAGTTTTATCTTTAGCATAATAAAGTTTTGTTAAACTTATTAAGAGTTGGTTTTGATATGGTGCACTTAAGATCCCTGCCACCCACTACACGTTTTCCTCTGTATACAGATTTATTTTGCAATCAGTTGTACATGATTTTTCAAACAACAGTCACACAACTAAAACTAAAAACTGCTTGATTAGAAGGCTCCAGCTGTACACAATCCTGTATTTTGCTCATGTAAGGGCAAAGCAATAGCTTTTTTAATGCCTCTCTCCTTGTTAGCACATGCTCACTTTTCTATTTTCTCTCCCAATGCTCTTGGCATTTCCTTCCTACCATGTGACAGCTCTAGTGCTTGGTGTCTGGCCTCCCAGGAACCATGGCTACATTGGGATGGGGAGTTCTTACATAACAATGTAATTTTTAAGTGAAACCGTTGCTTTGCTTTGAATGACCAAAGCAAAAGTTCACTTTATGTTCCAACACTCTGAACACCCTCCAGCCGAAGTTTTCCACTCTGCATTCAAATAAAGAGCCCATCATACACCAGACAAAACTTAAAAAAAACTGTTTTATTTTTTTTTCCGTCACAGGCTTGTCATCTTTTCAATATGAAAAAGCAACAGTAAAATAAAAAATAATTATGGCATGGGGACAGAAAGAGAAGAAAAGGATGAACAGAACAACAAAAATAAAAACAGGAAAAAAATTAATGAAACATCCACTTTTCACTTAGAGAAAGATTCTTCCCCACAATTCCTTCCATTTGCTAACAGCAAACTTATTATTTTTCTCTTTTTAAATACAATTGTTTCCTTGTTAACCACAGGCCATCTCAAGTATGGCCATCCCAGGCTGCAGAATCCAGGCCCACGTCATTATTTGTAACCAAAATCTGCATATCTAAAAATACTGTTTGCTGTAAAGAGTGGTAAGTGCATTTTGTTAGATCTCAACCACCAGCTGTTATATTGTAAACAATGACAGGCAAAGCCTTTTTTTTATTGAGACCTATTTCAAGCCAAGCTAAATTGGAGACATTTTTTCAAGGTTCCCATTTAGTTGGTAATTAGGGAAGTGGCAGTGATTGGTACATTTTATGTGTGTCCACAGTAATAACTTAAGGAAACGAAAAAAGAAAGGAAACCGCTCCTAAAAAAGGACAAAGAAGCCACCACTGCATGGGGCTCAGAAAAGTAGGGTTAGGATTAGATGTTTTCAGGCTCTCCTACAATCTCAGAGTAAATTAGACTTTTAACCAACCTGTAGCTACAGAGGCCAGCACTAAGCCACAAGTATAGGCCAAGAATTTTGACTTTAAGTAGGCCACCTTTTGATGGAACCCAAGTAATCAAAGCTTTGCCGGTCATCCAAGGAGCCTGCTACGGCTTACCAGCTGTATGACAACTCCTAAGACCAAATTGAAAACCTTAACAAGATGTAACCTGCTCCAACCAGGGCCTACCATCAAGGACTTTCCACAAGATTGAAACAACATATACAGAGAAGGAATAGAGAAGCATAAAACAAAAACACTGAAAAAATGAAAAAAGATGGAGGAATAAAACAAATGGAGATCTTCTGTAAAGACTTATTTTTTTTTTCTCTCAGCCTGAGAATGAAGGAGGAGGAAAGATGAGGAAGAAGTGGAGACGGGAGAGGGAGTAGTGGTGGTAAAGGTGGTGGTAGAGAGAACTCAAGCCTCCTCCTCTGCTTCTTCATTGAAATCTTCCTCTTCTTCTGCTGTAGCATCTTGGTACTGTTGGTATTCGGAGACAAGGTCATTCATGTTGCTCTCAGCCTCTGTGAACTCCATTTCGTCCATGCCCTCTCCCGTGTACCAGTGGAGGAAAGCCTTGCGACGGAACATGGCAGTGAACTGCTCTGAGATGCGTTTGAACAGCTCCTGGATGGCGGTGCTGTTGCCAATGAATGTGACTGCCATCTTAAGGCCGCGTGGTGGGATGTCACACACTGCCGTCTTGACATTGTTGGGGATCCATTCTACAAAGTAGCTGCTGTTCTTGTTCTGGACATTAAGCATCTGCTCATCAACCTCCTTCATGGACATGCGACCACGGAACACTGCTGCCACTGTCAGATACCGACCGTGACGTGGATCACAGGCAGCCATCATGTTCTTGGCATCGAACACTTGCTGAGTGAGCTCAGGTACGGTTAGTGCACGGTACTGCTGACTGCCTCGGCTGGTCAGAGGAGCGAACCCTGGCATGAAGAAGTGGAGACGTGGGAAGGGGACCATGTTGACTGCCAGTTTGCGAAGATCAGCATTCAGCTGGCCTGGGAAACGTAAGCAGGTGGTGACTCCACTCATGGTAGCACTAACCAGATGGTTCAGGTCTCCATAGGTTGGGGTGGTCAACTTCAGGGTGCGGAAGCAGATGTCATAAAGGGCCTCATTGTCAATGCAGTAGGTTTCATCTGTGTTTTCAACCAGCTGATGAACAGAGAGTGTGGCGTTGTAGGGTTCCACAACAGTGTCGGATACCTTGGGAGATGGCACAACACTGAAGGTGTTCATGATACGGTCAGGATATTCTTCCCGAATTTTGCTGATGAGAAGTGTGCCCATACCGGATCCGGTACCACCACCCAGGGAGTGTGTGAGCTGGAAGCCCTGAAGACAATCACAGCTCTCTGCCTCCTTTCTCACCACATCTAGCACAGAGTCTACCAGCTCAGCTCCTTCTGTGTAGTGACCCTTAGCCCAGTTGTTGCCAGCACCACTTTGTCCTGAGAAAGATAAAAAAGTGTTAAGTTAGGATAAGAAATACTCTCGCAGCTATTGTTAATGTTTAGGGTCAGTGGTCTAATTCAGCAATATGGTTTGCCAAACACCCAAAAACCCACAAAAACACAGAAAGATTAATGTGAAATAATGTTAGAGCCTTTTTAAAACTAGTTTATGAGATAAGCAGTATCATTTTCAATAAACAGTGCAAAGTGCAAATTGTAACTGCAAACTTCATAAACCCATATCAGAGCAAGCAATCAGCATTCCAGACCGGAAAAAATATAGATTCTGCTACGAGTACTGAACTTTGAACTTACAAAAATAAGTCTTTACATTCTGCTGTAGAGACAAGACACTGTGTTTTCACACAACAAACCTGACTAACCTGGTACAGAACTCAGTGAATGATATCATGGTAAATAGCTACTTTTCTTTTTTAGGTTTCCAACATTTTTAAACTCTTGTTATACACTTGTGAAATTATTATTTTTTTAACTTAGTAAAGCTTACCAAATACAAAGTTGTCAGGCCTGAATATCTGTCCGAAGGGCCCGGATCGGACAGAGTCCATTGTTCCTGGCTCCAGATCGACGAGGATGGCTCTTGGGACATATTTGCCACCTGGATACAAAAAAAAAAAAAAAAAGGTAAGAATCTGACCACAGGCCAAAACAAATACTGTCATTTGAATTTTATCTATGACAGCACTGGCTATGCCTTTGTTAGCAAGTACAGTTTCAAAAGGAAGCACGTCAGTTAGGGGACTGCAAGCCACAACTCCTGATGACATTTAAAGAGGAATGCAAGCCACTTCCCCTTTTGACACCATAAAAAACTCCAAATTCCAAACACATTTTTAAAATGACAACTGTCAAGAAGCATTCGGAGATCATTTACACTAGCTTACGTCGTAAAACGCAGCATTTGACCATGCAGGCTAATGTCTATGTGAGGTCCAGCAGGGGGCAGTGCAATGTTTAGGGCATTGCACTCTTTACTTTCTCTTTTATTGTTACATTTATTTGAAGTGTCATATAATGACATTTTTTTCATGTCTCTGCAGAGCAGTGTGGTGACATATGGGGACATTCAGTGCGCTGTGGAATGTTGCATATAGTGTGAACATACCTAAATATAGCTTTAATAAGATAAACAATGGAGGAAGCAACAATGTGTGGAAATCTATATTAAACAATCTAAATTCTAATTCTAAAATTAGAAAGGGCAAGATCTAGTGCAGCTCTGCACAAAAACCGACCCGCTTGCAGGTTTTATTGTCAAAGCTCAGTTGAACAAGCTGAAGTTAGAAGCTGATTGGCTACCATGCACAGCTGCACCAGATTCTGGGTGCTCTAGGTTTAGTAAATCTCCCCCAATGAGTCACTGGATGCTACAGACTGCTGCACTGTTCACATTCTAATACTGGACCATAACCATTTGATGCTAGCTAGCACTATAAAAAACACAAGCAAGGTAGTTAATGCAAATTAAAAAAAAGGAAGAGCTGTATTCAAATAATGCAATAAATGCACATCCTGAAAGTAGAATTCCAGTCTAAATCTAACTAGTCTTAAAAATGTCCTCTACCCTCGTCTTAACAACCATGCTGACTAACCTGCGTAAAAATGACTTACCTATTTTCAGCCCATTCTGGCTTGGTCACGTGATCCGGCTTCAATGTGTCAGCCAGTGAAGGCTGCAGAGTAGAAGAGGGAGCGCTGACAACAGCTGGGAACACAGCCTATAGGTGATGTCACCGCTCCAGGAAATCCCAGCCAATATTGAGCACCCTCTTTCTCCTCAGTTGTTGGCTGACAGCAGGCTCATGTGATCAAACGGGAGAAAATAGGTTTTTGCACCTTTTTTTACACAGGTTATTCAGCATAGGTATTGGAGGGCGGGATTTTTAAAACTAGTTAGGTTTAGGTTGAAATTCTACGTTAAATCTTAACTCCAGCCTTATCTCATATATATTGATTACTCTGATTTCACTGCACACTTTGAGCTTCTCACAGTATGCATTAGAGTTTGCAGCAAGTCACACAGAGCCAGCCTCATTTTCTGGCTGGAGGATGTCCAGCGTCTATTCCACCACAGCTGAACTGTCACTGTTCCTCCCATTTCATTCATTGGATTTCAGTTCTGTCAATCATGGAAGCTCAAAATTACATGTGAGCTTCACCTTGGGTGGTCTGCTGAGTTTAAGAAGCTATGTGCAGCCACTCCCACCAGGCATGATCTGCCTGAATTGCACAGAGACCTAGTGATGACATCACTGGATCTAAAATAGGATGTATAATGAAAACAGAAAGGTTTTATTTAAAAAAAAAATGTCCTTAGCATGCTAATGAAGGGTGAACCAAGGAAGGCAAAATATAACCTGATTAACCTTCAGTTTTAAGGAAACCTGCGCTGGCAGATATATGAGGACAGCCATTGCTGATCTTTTGGGGTTTTTTTTGTATAAAAAACTCCAGCTGCCTAGCTATAATGCTAATTTATTGGTTTTATTCATTTTGGAGTCATTCGCAAGGAACAGGTACAGAAGAAAAGGGAACAGCAGGAAGTGCCAAGCATTTAGCATCTTCAAAATGAGGTCCACAAAAGGTAACATCTGCTGTATTTCTCACAGGACAGGTTTTCTTTAAACTATTTTGCTGGATTGTAGACCTTGCTAAAGCTTCTAAATATCTGTGTAGGCTTTTCCAATCCTGACCAAGGTATGTGCTGTCTCCACAAAGGAGTTCATAGGATTAACATATGTTTCAGGGGGATTTAAACTACCTGTTGCCTCGTTGTAGTAGACGCTGATCCTGTCCAATTGCAGGTCGCTGTCTCCATGGTATGTTCCTGTTGGGTCGATTCCATGCTCGTCACTGATCACCTCCCAAAACTGTGAAGAAAGATGAAATGAGATTTAAGGAAGCTGCCATTGCAGGTGCTCGGTTTCGCAGTCTGATCTACTGGCAGACAGAAACAGGAAACTCTAACCACATCCTCTTTCTGCTGCATAGCCCTCAACTGCTTTGTGACCTAAATACATCTGCAGATTTCACTGATGGCCATGTGAGTTACTCACAAAAGTCTTTAATCCTTTGGGAACCCTGATGATAAAATGTAACAGTCTCTAGCTGGGAACTCATCGGCAGGAATGACACATATGGAATCTCAGTCTTCAAGGGAAAATAAAGAGGTGTAAAGAAACCAGATTTGGGTTTATTGCAGTCATGGCCAGTAGAAGTGAGGCTTATCCATTCCATTTTTTACTGATTGTGTATTCTGCAGCAGGATCAGCGTGACATTGTGGCGATGGAGGACTAAGCCAGAAACACCACCAAAACAATTTTGCCCCATAACCATTAAGAGATTTAAGAGGCCCATGGGTGACTCAACCCACCCATAATCAAGTCATCTGTCATGGTTGGGCTAACCCTTTAAATCAGCTAGTTAAAGTTCACAGATCAGGGTGCCAACACCAATGCAACACAGTAACTTGATTGAACTGGTGGGTTTAAATGACATTCTGGGAAATGTGAACAAAACATTCCTAGGAGCTCTGTGTGTATGAATCATGTGTAGTCTTGTGCTCTGTCTGATTCTGCAGCTCTACAATGCTATCCGTTCTCTATGGAATGGAACGCAGACCTACCCCCACCCCCTCAGTCTCTCTGCTGCTTCATTTGCAGTGCGTACTGTGGTTTGGCCTCCCCTCCCCCTCCCTCCACATCAACAGAGGAAGTTGGAGAACAATACAGCCTTACAAATACAGAGGGGGACGCAGGGGGATGTGACACTAGGCCCAGTCACCCCAAATTATGTCACTGGCATAGCAGGAGACCAGTGATCCAAAAAACACATTTTGGTTGTAAAGTGGTCACCAAGAGCCAATGCAAGTCAATATCCATTATTTATCATATGAAGGACCCCTACACTATATGATCATATTGGGTAACGATATGACTGATTGGAACGTTATCGGTGATAATCCCACACCATAAGGTTCACAAGAGAACTACAAAATGCACCTGCAAATGAGGAATGTGTTAGTATTGATCGCAGAGAGCTCAGGAAAATAACTGTCTTACATACAGTATAAAACTTGTGGTCTCATCAATCATTGTGTGAATGAGTAGTGTCTGTATGATCTATCTATCTATCTATCTACCTACCTATCCCAGATCTATCTATCTATCTATCTATCTATCTATCTATCTATCTATCTACCTATCCCAGATCTATCTATCTACTATCTATCTATCTATCTATCTATCTATCTATCTATCTATCTATCTATCTATCTATCTCTCTCTATCTATCTATCTAGGTATGTATGTGTTCATTCCTATCTGTTTATGGATGTAGATATGTATGTATCCATCCCTATCTATTTATGTATTTAGGTACTGTCTTTATTGTATCTTTCTATATTTTTACCTATGTTTTTGTCTATGTCATATTTTATCTAACCTTTCCTATCTCTATACTGTATCATATTTTATCTAACCTTTCCTATCTCTATACTGTATCACTCTCTGATCTAACTAGCACAAATCCCAGTATAATTAGTGCATTATATTCTGTACTATCATATTACTAATATTGTTATATATATTAAACAACGTCTTGTATCTGTTATTGAATTCATAACGTACACACAGATCTCTGCTGCTCGGGGAAGGATGGGGGTGTAGGTTTACACCCCAGGGTGTGGCACTGCAGCTGTACCAGGCTGTCATCAGCATAGACTTACAATGCGTAGCACACATCCGCTATCTGAGCCATCGGTCATGCTGCCAGCCCATTATAATTGGAGGGTCCCCTATCCTATTTATAGCCAGTGAACTGCAAAATACGGAGACACTTTAATCACCCAAGATTGCAGCCATTAGGAAGACAACTAGAACTGTATTTCAGAATAATACAATGAAATCAAGCTATTGCTAAAATATTACCTATTACATAGCAAAGCCAAAAAAAATCAAAAAGATTTTTTTTTTAAAGATTTTACATAAACAAATCTATATTTTTAATAAATTAAGCTGTTTGAAATGTCCTCTTATTTAAATCTAAATAAGTTGATATGGTTTTATATAGAGGCTTCCCATGGTGAAGATGTACGTTCTTCAACCCTGCAGATGGCTATGTGATGTGGATACACACCCTTCCCCTAATCCTTCCTGTAATAGCATTACTGGCCAGCTTTACTGCACTGCAGTTAGCGTCTACGTCACAAGCATTTTTTTTTCCGAGGGATTTAGGGGTAAATATAAATGGATGTGGGTGAGACCACTTCTAGAAGAGGAAAACATGCCTCCCAGTGGAGTTTTTGATATTTAACAAAGTCAAAAATGCCATTTTTAAGGAAACTCCCTCCCAATTTTAGAGGTTGCTTGAGAACAAAGACTGAAAACCTAGAGAGGAAGGAGGAGGTGGTCGGGGGAGGGGGAAGCTGTTGGCGCCATAGCACACTGATCTTCTGTTAGCAAGGAGGGGAAAAAAATTTTTTTCAAATGTATTCAAACATTTTTATTATACAAAATACAATTTTAATGTTTTAATAAGTGATATGAACATAAAAACTGTATTCAATATTGAAAATATGCAGCAATCGGAATGCCCTAAATGAGCATTTTACAATGATATAAAACAAATAAATAATTTATACAAAAGATAAACATCAAATACAAATAAAATGCTTTGTGTGTATATCTAACTACCTGTTTATTTTTTTTTTCTAATTTGGCAACAAGGACAATTTATGGCACTGGATGTTTTCCTAATGGATTCCATTCTTTTATACTGGAATAGTATCCGCTCCCTATTCACTCCCTGTTTCCGGAGCACTGCAGGCACATGGCTGTGCAATGTGGCATTTAACAACTCTGTACGTGTATGTCAGTTCGGCTACAAAATCCACTGAAACATAGAGGATCGTAGTGGAAAAAAAAAATGACCTGAAGAAATTCCCTCCAAAACAACATTAAAATTTAGATACTGCTCAACGAATGGAATCTGAATATAATCAATTCAAATATTGAGCAGCAACAATGGTTTTTTATTTGTTATATTAAATGTGTGTGATACATAGGATCATTATATAGATTTGAATTATTAGATTTTATTTTTGCCAGTATTGAATTTTTCACACTGGTTTTATCAATATTTTTTTTTTGTATTTTTATATTTGCTGTGGAAGGCAGTACAGGCACACACAGCCCACCCCCCTTCCCCCCACCTGACAAGTACAGACCTAATGCTATTACTGCTGGGCAGGAACCATAGAATACCGCCATTAGCGCCTTGTGATGTTTTTTCTATTAGAGTGACAACCTTCTGCTCACAAATGACTAGGTGTACTTAATCTGTCATATATACTAATGGCATAAATTATTTTAATGTTCTATACTTATATATATATATAGCCTACAAAAATCAAGCTCAGCCCATCTCCATCCTAAGCAGGTCCCCACCCAACATGCAGAATTCTTCATCGGGTGGGGGGGTCTGTAATTAAAATTCTATTTTTGAATAATATGGTTTGTACAGATATAAAGGGCTGTTTAATGGGCCCCTTTTATACAGAGATCGGCCCACCTAGGATGTGATGGCTCAGTACCGTTATATAAAGTGGGGTGACCACCATCTGGAGGCTGATGGATTGGGAAGGGAGGGGTGGGGGGTCCTCCAGCAGGTGCCTATCCTCCAAACATGCCAGCCTCACCTTGGCTCCGATCTGGTTGCCACATTGACCGGCCTGGATGTGAACGATCTCCCTCATGGTTCTAGCTTGCTGGGTGGTCCGGAGATGGAAAGCTGGAGATTACGACGTTCTAGCTAGGAACGTCCGAGACAATGGCGAGGGCAGCAAGGCAGGGAGCCGGGTACTAGAGGCAGGGGGCGGAGTCTGTGCGGGGACGGGGCGGGGACTTCTAGGGGAGCTCTAGGGGGGGATGTTGCTGTCACCTTGGCTGCTGCAAAGTGCCATCGGGCTGAGGATCTACAATCGCGATTTTATTTTGGTATTATTTTTTTTATATGAAAATAAATCTGTATTCATTATTATGAAATGAATATATGAATTGTATACCAAGTACTAAACAATGATTATTAGAGGCCACATTACACAGAGGTGGGGCTCCAGCCTTCATTGTCATTCCCTATGCCTATCAGGCAAGGTACACCCTCAATGATACAATAAATGTATGAAAGAAAGTATCAAACATGTCACAATGGGATGTATAATGTCACGATGGGGATGTATAATGTCACGATGAGGATGGCTACAATGTGTTGATGTCTTCTCAGATGACATGATGATCACAGATGAGTGAGGCGGATTGCTCAGTACCCAGAGCAGAGAAGGCATCCATAGTGATGGGTGTGTTCCCTGTGCTTTCATTGAATCGGCGTTTTTTTTTTCTGCATAGGACCTGCCAGTGCCCCCAATCCAGCATTTGCTGTGACAGCCACCCATGATTATTGTACCTTTACTCCTACAGATGTGGGGGAACAAGAAAGGTCCATGCTTGCCATGTTTGCTGCACAAGTGGATTTTTAAAAGCAATCTCATGAATTATTCATCTCGGCAACCATTGCTTTCTGACTACCCAAGTTTGGACTCATTTGTTTTCCACTCTGATAGAGAATTCTGCTTCCCATGAGCCCGTTATAAATTGATGAGCTTTGGATGTTTTGTTTTCTTTTCTGCTTTGCAAATACCTGTATAGGTGGGCGATAAATGGACAAAATGGTCAGCTGCTGGCTGTTTGTTTTTTTAATCTGGCTTTATCCGCATTATCCTTCAACGTACAAATCCTGATTTGACTTTTATTTTTATACTTTAAATCCCATCATTCGCAAACATTGCAATTTTTTTCCATTTAGGAAACTTTTTTTTGTTATTTGGTGCATTATGAAATAGTGAAATCCAAATTCCACCAAAAAAAAAAAAAAGTTGATCAGGCTATTATTTATTTATTACAGGTACTCATATAGCACCATCAATTTACGCAGAACTTTACGTATATTATTATTATTATTATACAGTATTTATATAGCGCCAACAGTTCGCTCAGCGCTGTACATTACAATGGGAGACAATACATGAGACAGTACAATAATAATACAATGCGATACACGAGGGGTTCGAGGGCCCTGCTCCTTGGAGCTTACAATCTAGGAGGGAGGGGATAGTGGTACAGGAGGAAATAGCTGTGGGGGATGGAGTGGTAGGTAGGGTGGAGGAGGTCGGCAATTAGCAGAGGGTGGGGTAGGCTTCCCTGAAGAGGTGGGTTTTTAGGGTGTGCCTAAAGGAGAGGAGAGAGGGTGATAGTCTGATGGATTGGGGTAGGGAGTTCCAGAGGATGGGTGATGCCCTGGAGAAGTCCTGGAGGCGGGCAAGGGAGGAGGATATCAGGGAACTAGAGAGAAGGAGGTCTTGTGATGAGCTGAGAGTGCGTTTTGGGTGGTATTTGGATATTAGGTCGGTGATGTAGTTCGGGGCAGAATTATGGACAGCATTGTACGTCAGTGTTAGCAGTCTGAATTTGATTCATTGGGCAATCGGAAGCCAGTGGAGGGATTGGCAGAGGGGGGTGGCGGAAACGGAGCGGTTGGTAAGGTGGATGAGTCTGGCCGTCGTATTCAGGATCGACTGGAGTGGGGATAGCCTGTGGCGAGGCAGGCCAGTGAGGAGGGAGTTGCAGTAATCGAGTCGTGAAGTGATGAGGGAGTGGATTAGCTGCTTAGTAGTTTCAGGGGTCAGGAATGGGCGTATTTTGGCGATGTTGCGGAGGTGGAGTCTGCATGTATATTTTGTACATTCACATCAGACCCTAACCCTCAAGGGGCGTACAATCTAAGGCAGCCTTTCTCAACCAGGGTGCCTTGAGGTTTCTTCAGGGGTGCCTTGGCAAAATGTCTAAAAATTGCCAGCGTGTGGAACAAGCCTGCCTTTTAGTTACACAAAGCCACAGGGTTTCATTGTGCACCATTACGACCTTCTAGCCGCCAGCGTCCTGACAACCAATGACATCATCAGTTGATAAGGAGGATGTCAGCTGCCTGCACAGCATCCTAATTTGACCATCCCCTGCCCCTCTCCATCAGTGCTGGGGTCACATCGGCTCGGTGATGGAGAAAAACTGATGGAGAAGAGAAACACTGGAATACTAGTCAGTACCAGTGTGCAAAAGTGTATTTGCATTGGAAGAATAAATCACCTCTAAATGTTGTGTGTCCTACATGTGTGGATGTTGCGGTGTTATATATAAAACTAGAATAGTTTTTCACAGTTTTTCACATTTTATAATGGGGTGCCCTTTTAAAATTATGGACAGTCTTGAGGCACCCCATTTTAGAATGGGGTGCCTCAAGACTGTCCATAATTTTAAAGGGTGCCTCGAGACTGTCCATAATTTTAAAGGGTGCCTCGAGACTGTCCATAATTTTAAAGGGTGCCTCGAGACTATCCATAATTTTAAAGGGTGCCTTGACTGAAAAAAGTTTGAGAAACATTGATCTAAGGTACATTAATATGGCAGTTTATCTGTGGCCAGGGGCAGCTGCCGAGAAAGATTAGTAGATTCTATCTAGTGGTTCTAAGCCCTGGATTACAACGGTGTGACTTCAGGTGCAACAAGCGATTTACAAATCGTACCTGAAGTCGCTTCTAATGTATTTCTATGGCACTGTCTTAATCAGTGCAATTTGAATAAGTGCAATTTCAAAAATAGATCCTGTACTACTTTTTTTCTGATTTCATTGCGACTTGCATTGACTTCTGTTAAATGAAGTTGCAAGCTGCAGTGAAATCTGAGGTACACATCACACTGATTTGCAGCTCTAAAAGTGAAGTAGCACGATTTCAAAGTTGCATTCAGTGTGAACCAGGGCTAAACATTGCTTGCATGCACTAGAGTTTATTTATTAAATCTGGAGAGTGCAAAATCTTCTGGTGCAGCTCTGCATAGAAACCAATGGGCTTCCAGGATTTATTGTAAAAGCTTAACCTCTTTGCGCCAGCTTCTGAAACTCTTAAAGGGCCAGGAGGCGGTTTTAGGGTCATGTGACCGCCGTGATTCACCATCACGGCAGTCACATGATCGGAAAAGGTTCTGATCGAAATGGGAGATCGGGACCTTTCCGGGAGTCACGGACATATGTGCTGGGCATGCACTCTCAGCACATATGTATTTTATGATTGCACACAAATATGCGGCTGCTCAGTGTCAAGCCACAGACGCCAAGAGGCCGCATATTTGCGTGCGATCGGCGTCAAGGGGTTAATTGAACAAGCTGAAGTTAGAAGCTGATTGTCTACCATGGCAGCACAGTGGCTAAATGGTTAGTACTTCTGCCTGGCAGTACTAGGGTCGTTGGTTCAAATCCCAACCACGGCACCACCTGCCTGGAGTTTGCATTTTCTCCTTGTCCCTGTGTGGGTTTCCTCCGGGTTCTCCGGTTTCCTTTCACACTCCAAAGACATGCTGGTAGGTTAATTGGATCCTGTCTAAATTGCCCCTAGTATGTGTATGTATGAACGTGAGTTAGGGATCTTATATTGTACACCCCTTGAGGGTTAGAGATTGATGTGAAAGTATAATATACAGTGGGGATCGAAAGTTTGGGCACGCCAGCTAAAAATTTGTATTAATGTGCATTAAGAAGCCAAGGAAAGATGGAAAAATCTCCAAAAGGCATCAAATTACAGATTAGACATTCTTATAATATGTCAACAAAAGTTAGATTTTATTTCCATCATTTCACACTTTCAAAATAACAGAAAACAAAAAAATGGCATCTGCAAAAGTTTGGGCACCCTGCAGAATTTATAGCATGCACTGCCCCCTTTGCAAAGCTGAGACCTACCAGTGTCATGGATTGTTCTCAATCATCGTCTGGGAAGACCAGATGATGTCAATCTCAAAGGTTTTAAATGCCCAGACTCATCTGACCTTGCCCCAACAATCAGCACCATGGGTTCTTCTAAGCAGTTGTCTAGAAAACTGAAACTGAAAATAGTTGACGCTCACAAAGCTGGAGAAGGCTATAAGAAGATAGCAAAGCGTTTTCAGATGTCAATATCCTCTGTTCGGAATGTAATTAAGAAATGGCAGTCATCAGGAACAGTGGAAGTTAAAGCAAGATCTGGAAGACCAAGAAAAATATCAGACAGAACAGCTCGCAGGATTGTGAGAAAAACAATTCAAAACCCACGTTTGACTGCACGATCCCTCCAGAAAGATCTGGCAGACACTGGAGTTGTGGTACACTATTCCACTATAAAGAGATACTTGTACAAATATGGTCTTCATGGAAGAGTCATCAGAAGAAAACCTCTTCTACGTCCAAACCACAAAAATCATCATTTGAACTTTGCAAATGAACATATAGACAAGCCTGATGCATTTTGGAAACAAGTTCTGTGGACCGATGAGGTGAAAATTGAACTTTTTGGCCGGAATGAGCAAAGGTACGTTTGGAGAAGAAGGGGCACAGAATTTAATGAAAAGAACCTCTGTCCAACTGTTAAGCATGGGGTTGGATCAATCATGCTTTGGGGTTGTGTTGCAGCCAGTGGCACAGGGAACATCTCACGAGCAGAAGGAAAAATGGATTCAATAAAATTTCAGCAAATTTTGGATGGTAACTTGATGCCATCTGTGAAAAAGCTGAAGTTAAAGAGAGGATGGCTTCTACAAATGGATAATGATCCTAAACACACCTCGAAATCCACGAGGGATTACATCAAGAGGCGTAAACTGAAGGTTTTGCCAT